TTTTATTAAAATATGATTGACAGAATACACACAATTCTCCCGCACCACTCTTTGGGTTTTGGAAGAAAAGCCCGTTGGCTTCCTGAGATCTCACAGCGGAGTCAGAAGCTGTGTTTCTAGGTGACTGGAGACTGTAGGTTGTGTGCCTGAGACCATGGATGCCACCTGGGTAAAAGGACACACAGGTTGATCAGGTCCCCCTTGGCCAGGGTGCTGAGGCCTAGAGTGGATCTGACAGTGAACTTGACCTTGTGGTCTTGAGAGAGGGTCATGTAGCTGGCTCCTCTTAGGGTCAGTGGGAGGAGAGTTGCAGGGAACACCTGTGTAGTCAGGTGATAAGGCATTAATGACACTGAGAGTCTCTTGGCAGCAGTACTGAGCAGGAAGAAACATAGGTGGGCCTCCATATTCATTCCGAGAAAGGATGTGACTGCCCCTAGGGATGGTGGAGGAGAAGGCTTATTGTAGGTATGAGGGAGAGCATAACCAGAAGCAGGGACATCTGGGAGAGTCCAGAGAGGACATGCCCCTGAGCTATGTGAAAAGAATGGGCAGGGGAAAGGCGGGAGCCAGACCACAAGGCCAGGAGAGTAAAGGGTAGACAAAAGGCCAGGTAATCAAAATGGTTGGATTATATAGGGAGGGGAATCTGGAGAAAGGGCAAGCGAGCCCCTGGGCTGCAGAAGTTTAGGGTAGGGTATGGGGTATGCCAGTCATACGCTGTAACAGGTAGGGACTGAGGGATGCTGGGAGAACCTGGTGGCCAGGTCCGCTTCAATATGTCAAATAGGCACCTCAGCCATCAGTCCCAGGGTTGAGACCTAACATGCACTTCTAAGGATTTTATCTCCTACAGTTCAATCAAACACGGGATGAAAGTATTGCTAAAAATCACATCTGTACCAAACATGTACAGACTTTTTTTTCTTATTCTCTGGGCACCGCAGCTTAATTTTCTATACAGCATCTACCTTGTGTTGGGTACTATAAGCCATCTAGAGATGCATTAAAGGATACAAGAGAATTGTGTTGGTTCTCTGCAAATACTATCCTATCCAATGAGGGCCATGAGCATCCACTGATTTGGGTATTCTTTTCCAAGAAATGTCTGTAGTTGGAAACCCCTGTGCTGTGGGACAATGGCCTTATACCCTGTAAAGATTTGTCACTTGTATTGATTTTTAAAAAAATGTTGATTGGCCAGTAGCCAGGCAGGAATTACAAGAAGGGTGACCAGAATAGGAGAATTCTGGGAAGAGGAAAGGCTCAGTCTATAGTCATCACCCAGACACAGAGGAAGCAAGATGAGAATGCCTCACTGATAAAAGGTACCAAGCCACATGGCTAACACAGACAAGAATTATGGGTTAATGTAAGATGTAAGGGTTAGTTAATAAGAAAGCCCGAGTAATAGGCCAACCAGTTTATAATTAATGTAGGCCTCTATGTGTTTCTTTGGGACTGAATGGCTGTGGGATTGGGCAGCACAAAAACCTCTGTCAACACCCCTGGGATAGTTCTGTGCTCTGGGCTAATGGGCCATGAAGATTGTCTAGCACTGGCCATTTTAATCAACCTTGTCAAGTTGGGACTAAAATTAGGATGGAAGGTTATTAAAGTTGATTAAGATGCTTGTTAGACCTCAGGTTTTAGGGAAAAAGAATTCATATTATCTACAGATGATATTAAAGGATGCAGGAGGATTTGTTTCAGTTCCATGCAAGCATCCTCCCATCTTACATATTTTGGGATGTATATAAACATCCCATTAATGTATATTTAGAAAAATGTCAGGTTCAAGGGGAAGCACCCCCTATGGAGGTATTGTGCTCAGAGGTAAACAGTGTTGAGGATGCTGTATGCCGAAAATACTTATTTCCCTCCTCTGATGCAGGAAAGGAAAGAAAGCAGGAGAAATAGAACTAATTAAAAACTGTGTTGATATTAGACTGGACAAAAGGACAGATTAAACAAAAGAAATGCCCCCAGCAAGATGATGTTAGGACATTCACTGACCAGACAGAAAGACTAGAGAAGAAGGCTGGAAACTTGAGTCCCCCCCAAGTCAAGCTCAGTTTAGGGGCACAGAGCACCCACTGGCTACCCCAGTCCCACTGGATACCACGATGGTGCCAGGATGGTGTCATAGCTTCAGTTGTCAACTTGACACAAACCTAGAGTCACATAGGGAGAAGGAACCTCAGCTGAAGAATTGAGCAGATCAGATTGGCTGGCAGCAGGACATTTGCTTGATTGCTAACTGCTCTAGGAGAGTTGAGCCTACTGTGGGTGGTGTCATCCTACGCAAGTGGGCCTGGGCTCTGTGAGAAAAGTAGCTGAGCAATCTGGATGAACAAGCCAGTAAACAGAGTTCTCTGTGGTCTCCGTTTCACTTACTGCCTCCAGGTTCTTGCCTTGGCCTCTCTCTTTCGTGAACTCTAACCTGTAAGTTAACATAAACTCTCTACTCTTCAGTTTGGTCTTAGCCAATGTTTTATCGCAAGAACAAAAATTAAACTGGGACAGGGAGAACCCATGTGGTGTTGTGCTTTGCTTTCGTGTCATGTGCTATGACCGAATGCCCATCTTATTGATCTGGATGTCTTTGCTCAATCTGGAATATGGGGTAGCAGCAGACACCTGCCTTCATGGCTACTCTAGGGGAAGGGCTGGGTCTGACAGGAAATAGCAGGTTCCTCATCTATGGGGAAGGAATTCAGAGTCTGGGCCATCAAAACCCTTCCTTAGAAAGTCATCTTAGAAAGCCACTATGCTCATCACTATATCACTGACACCGCCCTGCCAGGACACCACTAGGACCCAGAAAGACAAATATAATATGTACTCACTCATAAGTGGCTTTTAAACATAAAGCAAAGAAAAACCAGCCTACAATCCACAATCCCAGAGAACCTAGTCAACAAAGAGGGCCCTAAAAGAGACATACATGGATCTACATAGAAAGGAGTAAGAAGAAAAGTTCTTCTGAGTAAATTGGGAGCATGGGGGGTCACAGGAGATTCAGGCCAACCAGGACTATGTAGTGACCTTCAGCCAGCCTGGAAAACATGGTAACAAGACCGCGTTCCCCTACAAGGCCTAGCTCATCTGTCTATTAGCTGTGAAGTCATTACATATTACAGACTTTCTGTGGCTTAGTCTATCATCTGTAAAATGGGGTAACACTTACCTTCCAGAATTATTATAAAGATGGGATGAGTTAACACCTGAATGTTGCTGATGTTATTCACTGGCCCATAGGACCTACTCAGTGATTCTGTTTTTCACTGACTACCAGCATCTCTCCAGTTTTTGTCAGGTCTTGATTATATGTGCCGAGAAGTTCTAGATCACACTTGAGTACATTTTTCTCTTCCTATTTTACCTGTTCCAGAGTGTGTTGATCCAGTTTCCTACTTTTTTTTTTTTCTTGTTCAGTCCCCTCTCTCATGGTCTTAGTTTTGGCCCCATCATCCCTCACTTGTGTGACAGAAGCCACCGTCTAAATGGTTTATCAGCTCCCACACACTTCTGGGTAATGAAAAGTCATAAAGTTACCTCCTGTGCTTATCAAACATCTGTCACTGTCACTTGTCTCTATGGCAAGCTAGGAGATGTTCTGATAACTTTCCATGGTTTGCTAACGAATTTGCACACCCACCTCTGAATAGGCACTATTATCTTCTGCAGATGGGGCAAACAAGGCCCAGAATTCTCAAGGACTAGACTAGAGCCAGACAGCAATATGAGGCCTAGGGGAGATTTGAACCAAGGCTCCCAGAATTACACATCTGTTGATGGGGCCGACTCCATACACATGGGTACTGGAACAGCTGCCTGGTTTCCCAAGCAGAAAAACTTAGAATTTCGGTTTCAGTGTGTTTTCTCTTTGGCGCTGAGAAGGCCACTCAAGGTCACAGATGCTAAGCATGAACTCTGCCACTGGGCCATAGGCTCAGCTTCTAAAACTCAGCTTTTAAAACTAAGACTGTGAAATAGATTGAGCTTGGTTGCTATAAAATGGATGGATTAGTTCTGCCCTCTGTTTTTTAAGATTATTTTATGTATGCATATGAGTGCTTGGCTTGCATGTATGTATGTATGCATACACATGTGTGTCTGGCACCTATGGGGGCTAGAGGTGGGCATCCGATCCCCTGGAAATGGAGTTACAGATGGTTGTGACTACCATGTGGGCACTAGGAACAAAGCCTGGGTCCCCTGCAAGAGCAGCAAATGCCCTTAACCATTGTGCCATTTCTCCAGCCCAATAGCCATTTTTTTTGAGATGTTTGGAGGCCACTGCTTAATACTATAAATGCTATGCGTGTATGAAAATTTTCCTCTGTTTAAAATCTTTAAAATTTCCCCAACTATTTACTTTTGTTAGCTTTCTTGCATAAGTAGGATTTCTATAACTAAATGCGTGTGTGTGTGTGCAAAATGTTTGAAGGTATATGTTTAAATATGTATTTTTTTCCTGTTTTTTGGTTTTTCGAGACAGGGTTTCTCTGTAGTTTGGGGCCTTCCTGGAACTAGCTCGTTTGTTTGTTTGTTTGTTTGTTTGTTTGTTTTTGAGACAGGTTTTCTCTGTGTTAACAGCCCTGACTGTCCTGGAACTCACTTTGTAGACCAGGCTGGCCTTGAACTCACAGAGATCCTCCTGCCTCTCAGGAGTGCTGGGATTAAAGGTGTGCACCACCACCCCACAGCTTGTATTTGTTTTAACTCTGCTTCTAACCACCCATTTCAAACCCATCTCCATTTGTAGCATTGTTTTTAATTTGACTGTTTTGTTACATTAGTAGTAGTAGTAGTAGCAGTAGTAGTAGTTGTGACAGTCTTGCTGTGTAATCCAAGCTGGCCTTGAACTTGAAATCCTCAGGTTTCACCTCTTCTGGTCCTGGGCTGCAGGTGTATGTCCTCACACCCAGCTCTAATCAGTCTTTTCTTCCTTTTTCAACTTGCCAGCCTTTGTTTTAGGTCTCTTTTCCCAGTGTAGATTCACCACATCACAGACTTACCCACAATGCACTGTGCTCATTTCCAGGTTATCCCTTCTGGTGGGGAACCCTTTTGAAGTCTGCTCTTCTACTTCTGTACTGTTGTCTGCACAGCCTGCTGGCTGCAAGCCTCCTTCCCTTTCCTTTTTTCTCTCCTCTCCCCATTATTCCTGTCTGGAACACAAACCATTCTCCATGAATGATCTGTGGGCAACAGAGTCTGGGGCCCATTGGCTTTTGCTTCGCTTTGGGGACAGAAATAGGACGCTGTGGCGGGTGAGGCCACGCAGTGAGTACATCCTGGGAGCAACTATGAAGCAGGCCTGTGAGACAGGGCATTTTAGGGAGACTCTGAGTCTCCTCACTGCAAGTCTCCACTCACGTCCTCCGGAGACCTGATGGCTACTTGCCGGAATGTTGGAGAAAACTTCAAGTGACAGGTTATGTGAGGGCAGGTGGCTGCCTCATGGGAGGTAGGCGGTGGAGGGTGTTTGAACAGTTCAGTAGAGGGTTCTTTGCAGGCGAGGTGTGAGCGCAGCGCCTTACAACATAGAGGTGCCTTGTTACACTATGGCGGTGGGGCAGAAATCAGTGTAAGCGACTTGTCCCTGGAGCGCTGCCAAAAGGCTTCATTTCCTGACCACTAAACCCTTTGAACTCTGCACGCCCCTCCCCCATCACAGTTATAAACAGTGAGGCCCTGGGCCAGCCTTTTTCCACACACACACCTGATGGTACAAGATCTGTCCCCCAGGAGGCCGCTTCCTGTTTCTTGTGCCCATCCACAGCCTCCCGATGCTGCTATGCTACGCTGGGGTTCGTGGTCAGGAGAGGCTGTCACGTGTGTGTTACAAGGGTCCCAGGGTGGAGGCCGATCTCTAAGAGTACTTGGAGAAGGTAGGGTGTTCAGAAGGTGCATCCTCGTGTGCTGACCATCTCAGTCTCGGGAACCCTTACTGAAGATCTGAATCATGGGCTCTCTCTGTGCACACCCCTGCCTGGGTGATCCGAGTTACCCTGGGGCGGGGTAGCGGCAGGGGTGCTCTGCTTTGTCTCGGCAGCGCTTCTTTAGCATCAACATGTTTTCCCATGAGCACCAAGGGTAGCAATTTCCCTGCCTTATCAGCTTAGCAACAGAAGGCCAGTTTCCAGGAAGGCAGTCACTTGATCCAGCCTGGTGAAACCCATTCGCCGGCTCTGGCCTTTGCATCCCAGCACTCAACAGCCGGCCTCAGAACATCGGGTTTTTTTTTTTTTTTTTAACTTGGCCAGCCCTCCTCCACCCCTGCCTGCAGCAGGGTGGTGGTTTGCAGAGTGGTAGGAATGCCTTGGGCCTTTGAACGTCGCCAGGCCTCTAACCCTGTGTTGCTTGAGGCCAGCAAAGCAGCAGCTTGTGGGGCCCGGGCGTGCTGGGTGGGCCCAGGAAAGGCCCCTCCCTTCAGTGGGGTTCTTCCCTGCCTGCTAAGCTCTGTGTCCTGTGAAACCGGTGGGAAACAATGACTGTGATGTTGGCAGGCAGTTGTGAGGTACTTCCCACCCTGGCTGTGGCCTTTGATTAAACAGGGGTGGTGGTGGTGGTGGGGTGCTCTTTGGAGACCCATGAATAAACTGGGTGAGTGGTTTGGGCTCTTTTTATAACCATATATGCCTCCCCCAAGAGAATCAATAAATAACGCTGCCATTCTGGTAGGGCTGTCTTTCCATAGCTGCCCTGCGAGCTCTGGCCCCTGCCAGTGCCGTCTCCTGTTTCAATTTCCATGTCCTCTTGCTTTTGTAACTCAAGGAGCTCCTGAGCTCGGGAACAGCTGACAGCCGGCAGCTCCTAGCGGTGGCACCTGGGGAAGGGGTGGATGGGCAATGACTTGCCAGCTTGCTCTGGGGCACCCTGTCCCTAGTCGCTATGAGTCATTTGAAGGGTGAGCAAGGGAGGGGGGATATCTTTGGTGCCAAACCCACGGGACGTGGCAAGGCCCTGTGCGTGAGGATGGGTGGGGATGAGCTTTTGCTAGGGGGTGAATCACAGACAACCCTGCTGTCTTTCCAGGTCACTACCTCAGGAGGGAGTTAGCCTTGTCTTCAGGGACATCACCCTGAAATCAACAGGCATCGCAACAAGCTTGGGAGGCACCGCCTTGCATCCAGGAGGGCCGCGTTGGTTCAGAGGGTGTTGTAGTGAAGTCGGGTTATTTCATTTCCTTGCGGGCAACATGTCTTGCGCTGCACCCAGGGTGTTACATTGCATCCAGAGGGCATTGCATCCTGCATTTAAGCATACCCAAGGCTAGACTGCTCACATACAGAGAATTCGTGGCACCTTTGAGTACCTACTAAGCCCAAACTCTATTTTACTGGAGAGGAACCTAAAGTCAGAGGGGAAGCAGAAGTGAAGCTTGAGACTGCCTCCTTCCATAGTCTTAGGTCCCTCAGCCTCATGCCCCTGCAGCCCCACATGGCTCCTGAGCAGGGGTGAGCAGGGTGAGCCTCACACCCCTGCAGCCCCATATTGCTCCTGAGCAGGGGTGAGCCATACGAGAGCATGAGAGGAAATGGGTGATGAAAGGCGGCAGGACCCAGGAATACTACCTCTCTGGCTTGGTTTCTGGCCCTTCCATTTCCTTCCTTTACCATGCACTCACACACCACCTCCCTGGTCCCTTTCAACGCTCTTGACTTTTTTTCTTCTGTGCCAGTATAAAACCCTCACTGGCTTTACCCTGGGAGGAAGGGGATAGGCGGGTCCAAGTTTGTGACTGGAAAGAAGGCTCCAGCCATCTCCCTGCATCCAGCTGTCTTTTTATTACTGTGTGCTTGAAATGAAGGAGCCAAGCATGTCCCCAGGGAGTGCCTGGCAGTGCTGACACTCATGGCAGAGGGTGACCGTAGCCAAGAAGTCGTCAGGTTCTGATTTATCCTTTTGCCAAGTGCGGGGTGGAAAGTTCTGAGAACAGTGCTAGAGATGACAACACACACACACACACACACACACACACACACACACACACGAGCAGCTCCCCGGCTTGCAGGGGCGTCTTCGCTCAGAGCTCTGGAATGCCACGCATCTGTTTATCTCTTGCCCGTGCCAGCCCACCAAACCTACCCACCCCCGCTTCCCCCGTGGACTCCGTGTGCCATGGCATTTGACAAATGTGAAAAAATAGTAACACCAGAGCCTGTGACTCTGGGACTCCTGTCACAAAGGTTCCTTCTTGGTGAGGCCTGATTGGCTGAGTCAGGGACTCTAGAGAGAGGCCAAGCCAGGCGTGGCTTTGCCCTTCACCTGGCTCATACGCTGACGTCACAGTGAGACGGACAAGGCCAGGGTGTTTGGACTGCCATGTCTAGGATATTTGCCTTTTGTTCAAGCCGGAGAACGGCTTAGGCTGCCCCATTTTTTTCTCTTGTGAGCAGTTAGGCTCTGCTCGGTCTAGACACAGGCATGTCTGTCCCCTGGGGGTTGGGAGCTGTAGGACATGGGGGTGGGTGGACTTCTGTCACCCTCTTGCCTGCCCTTTGCAGGATGAGTTCCACCATTGTTCAACTGACTTCCCAGACTGCTGGCCAGTGTGGAAGAGACTGGGGCTTTCCTGCCAGTCTGTGCTGTGGGCTCTCTTCTCATCCTTCTTGTGGAAAAAGAGTATGTGGGGGTGGGGGGGGCGGGAGGTCTGGGAAACAACCTTGTCTATCCACACAAGCCTCCAGCAAAGTGCTTCTGTGGTCATCCTTCCCTCTGACCGCAGTCTCTTGACGGTTTGATAGTTAGGGATGGAACACGAGTTTCCTGCAACTCATTTTACCTGCTTCTTCAGACAGTTCTGCTTTGGAAGGCTCCAGGAAGCAGACCTGGTCAGTGGCTATCAGTTGACAAGACCTGGCATTTCCAGGCCTTAATGCTGACTCCCTCACAGAGAGCTCACCTGGGAGACAGGTGTCCTGGGAGAGAGAGAGAGAGAGAGAGAGAGAGAGAGAGAGAGAGCTTACCTTGAGAGACAGGTGCCCTGGGAGATGCTCAGCCCTTTTCTGGGCCTTTCCATCTCTACTACACTCTGTGAGAAGCCTGCTTTACCAGCAAATAAATGGAGGCCCAGAAAACTCAAGTAAATCTCCCTCCCGTGGTCATCAGCAGCAGATTTTTTTCTGGGGACCCCGGGCATTCTAGATCTTGAATTGTTAGAATAACCAACCGTCTCTCAGCTTTGGCTAGACAGGAAGGCGGGCCTCCGCTCCGAACGCGCCTCCTTCTCTTCCGCTTCCTTCCCCATTGTGTGTCCGCTGCCTTTGATGTGCACAGCACCACACTGTTCCTCGAGTCACACGCTCCTGGGAAAGGCAGGGGATCAAGGAGAGATGAGGAGTCACGGGGTTGTCAGGAGGGTGACCCGAGGAGGGCTCCGAACACAGGCTGGGGAGGGAGACCGTAAATGCGCATTTCCAGATAGCTCTCGGGGCCTGTCCATGGGGAGGACAGAGGATTGGGGAAGAAACCTGAGTGACTGCGGAATTAGGCAATCCAGAGTGTAGGAATCTCGTACCCGAGTGGGCTGCTCCTCTACGTTGGTTTCAGGACAGCCTGCCCACCTACTTCTGCATCCTAGTGGCCGTGGACCAGGAGGTAGGGTAGCAGCCACATGCACAGGAGTGCCAGTGTTTGGCTAAGCGAGGCAGGGATGCAGTGTGTTGGTCAGCTTTCTGTCACTGTGGACAGACACCTGAGAGCAGTCAAAGTACAAGAAAGCAAGGTTTGTTTTCGTCATTGCTTTGGAGCTTTCGGTTCATAGTCATTTGGGTCATTGCTCTGGGACCTGTGGGGAGCCAGCACATCATGAAGGGTGTGCGTGACAGAGGAGACTACCCAGTTCATAGTAGTCAAACACACACACACACACACACACACACACACACACACACACACACACACGGAGGGGAGAGGAGTGAAGGAAGAGGAGGAAGTGGAGGAGCTGGAAGGAGAAGGGCTGGAATCTCAGTAACTTCCTTCAGTGAACTCACTTCCACCTACCAGGCTCCATTTCCAAAGCATCGTGGGGACCAGTTCTTAACACACGTGCCCGTGGGGTATGGGAAGGGCATAAGCCAGAGCAGCCAAACTCTAGAGCCCTGTGCTCAATCCTGAGCCAGGATGCTTCCTGGCAGGGAAGGGCAAGAGTGGAAAGGTGCTGGGCAGGAAGGAGAAGCACGGGCCGCGGGGGGGCCCCCCCCGGGGGGCAGGGCTGAATTTCTGGGGCGTGAGCAAGGGTTCTAGCCAGAGTGTGTAAGACTGTCTCTGGAGTGTTGAACACTCTTGTGTGTATTTCACTTCTTTGTGTTTTTCATGCACACCGACATCCCCAAGCCTCCTCCAAATCCCATGAGATCATGATCCTCCTCCTCAGCCTCATTTTCAATGGACTTCATTTACAAATGAGGCCAGTAAGGCACAGAGGGACAAGGTCACACAGCTGGGAAGCGTGCAGCTGTGGTACAGACTTGTAGTTTAGGAAGGCTAAAGAGACTCCTCCAGTCCCTGGTCCAGTTTCCCTTTCTTTTTGTCTCTTAAATAATGTGTCTTTCTTTCGTCTTCAAGGCCGAATCATAAAGTCTAGGGGGGTGGACTCAACAGAAAAATTCCAGGAATGTGTGAGCATCTTGGTGTGGTGTGGTATGGTGTAGTGTTTGTGTGTGTTGTGTGTGTGTATGTATGTCTGTGTGTGTGTTTGTTGTTTGTGGTAGGTATATAGTACATGTGATCTGTGGTGCCTTATTTGGTATACGTAGTATGTGTCATGGGGTATGTGTACTGTGTGTGTGGTAAGTGTGTGTGCAAGGTGTATGGCATGTAGTCTGTATGTGTGTGTGTACATGCGTGGTTTGTGTGTATGCATATGGCGTATATGTATGTGTATGGTGTGTGTCTCATATGGGGTGAGTGCATGTGTTGAGATGAAAGCTGCGCCAGGAAAGTCTCGAGATCCTGGACCATAAAGGTCACCCTGCCCCACCCTCTCCTATTCATTCTCAAACCCTTCACGGTTAGGCTCCTGTTATGAGTGTGGAGAAAGTGCCAAGCCTGAGCTCACCGGAGGCGTTGTGCCAACTTGCTGTTGAAGAAGCAGCTGTATGCATCCCTTACACCTGATGGGAATTTGGGGTGGGAGGAGCAGAGCAGGGAAGAGCTGCTGTTGGGTGTGGGTTCCGCGGCCCTGGGCATGCTCTATGTGCCCCACCCTCTTGACAATGGGGAGCCCCATGTGAGTCACACACTCAAGCCTGCCTCTCCTGTCCAGATCTTTTTCTGTCTGCCCTTGCGACCTCTTCCCCATCCTAGCCATGACTCAGTTGCCTCAGAAGGAATCTGTATCTCCTTGCTGGGCCATATTGGGTTTCTCTTGTGACTGACTCCACTGTGAACGGCATAATCACAAGTAGCCTACACAACAACGGATTGAACAACAGATGTCCCCAGCCACCCAAGGGCGATGGTTGGATACTGAGTACTGGGTCTTGTCTTAGAGTTTACCACTGCGCATGGAAAATATTCAGAACAAAGCTAGGTTTGTACTGGTCATGTACAGACTTCTCCCTTTGTTATTATTTCCTGAATGATATACCAGAAGAAAAATTACATAACGTTTCCCTGTGTTATTTATCATGAGCCATCTAGAGGTGGTTTAAAGTATTTTCGAGACTGCATCACTCATATGCAAATCACATACGTTTACAGAAGAGACTGGACCATCTCAGATCTTGGTGACTGTGTGGGTGCAGGGACCAACGCTAAAGATATCAAGGGACAAATGATCATGTGACATAGGGTTGATTGTAGTTAGAGTAACTCTAATGCAGAAATTGAGCTTTATTTATTTACTTTTGGCACTAAGAAGCTTCTGTTGGCCTCAACACACATGGCTTCTGTGTTTTTATAAACTCTCCCTGCCACAGGCTTCCTAATGCTGAGGTTACTGGCGTGTGCAAAAAGCAATCCTTTCGGCCAGTACTAAGTGTTCAATAAAGGGTCAGTTGATAAAAACTGTTTCGCGTCTGAACTTCGAGCAGTTGCAGATTGAGAACCTGCGAGTTCTCTGTAATCAAGATATCAATGCTGGTATTTGCCAAATCAGGCTAGCTTGAAAGACGGAACCATTTGCAAAGTAGAATAAATCATTAAACTACAGTGATAAGAAAACCAGCAACAAGACATTGAGGTTTATCCCTTCGCAGTGACTGGCCGGAGGAGGGGCTGTTGCATGCTGTTGTGCAGGTTGAGTACTGTGCAGCCCCCAGAAGTGCTCCGTCTAGAAACAACATGCAGGGGGGCTCTGGAGCGTTGGTTCTCAACCTGTGGGTCGTGAGCCTTGACAAACCTCTCTTCCAAAAATACTTACACTGCAATTTATAATAGTAGTAAAAATTATAGTCATGAAGTAGCAATGAAAATAATTTTATGGTTGGGGAGGGTCACCGGAACATGAGGAACTATATTAAAGGGTCGCAGCATTAGGAAGGTTGAGAACTGCTGTGATTGGAGTCTCACAAAATGCTGATTGTAATATAGGAACGTACCTTATCCATAGTGAGATACATGGAGAATAAACAGATCAGAATGGCTGATATTAATAGTAGTTGTGGTTTGTCTGTATATCTGTGCTTACTATGACTGTTGGACAAATCACTAGAGCAGCTCATTCGTAGATTCAGCCATTTCAATGTGTTTATTATGAGGTAATTATAGATTCATAGGAAGTTGCAGAATGTTGGACAAGGTCCTGTAAACATGTACTCGGTTTCCCCCAGGTAGTATCTTACAGAATTAGAATGATGTCAGGCAAGGGTGCAAGTTCCCTGGCCTTGGTGTCCTTCAGAGGTCATCCAGATCTCACAGTTTTACCTGCGCTCATTTTTATGTGCACAGGTGTTCCTCAAATGGTGCTGGGCTGGTACATAGAGGAGCCATCAGAAACAGATGCTGATGATTTGGAAATGCCTCCAGCTGCCTAGCCCATCCTAGTGTGTTCTCTTCTCGTGATTGTGGTCTTCCTCGGTGCTGTATCCCACTGCTACTGCCCAGCAGATGGGGTGGGTGTGTGACAGCGTCACACTGCTTCATGTGGGGCTCTCACAGGTTTCTCTGAACCCCTGGCACCGATGCTTGGAACCTGTCGTGAGGCAGTACTCATAGTGGGGCTCGGTGGTGGAGCAAACTCGTTCCCTCTATGTCCCCTGGAAAATAAAGGGTCAGGCAAGGGTACAAGTCCCAATATCCTTTGAGGGCACATTCCCCTGACCGCCCCGTCCCTAGATGAACCCGAGTAACCACCAATCCGTCCTCAAGTTCTATAATTTCTCATTTTGAAAGTGTTCTATAGATGGAGATTTATTCTTTCCTAAATGATAAGTCTTTAATTGTTTTTTATATTTAGAAAGAGGATCGACTTTCATTTTTCAGTCACTAGGACTCAGCTCCTTACAAGGTCTCTGGCACCCACAGGTCTAAATTGGGGCTGGGGGTTCTGTCCTCTATCTTTTTAGGTCACTCTGGCCACCTTCCTGCAAGTGGCAGAAAAACTGTAGTGCACAGGGAGAGGTCAAAGGTGTCTGATTCTAGACTATTCCTCATGGAGCGTTGTGATGAGCTTGTCACAGCCTTGTGCCTGTGGAGGCATCAGCTGCAGCCCATATAACTGCCAGGCTGCCTGTGGCCACAGCCCCAGTGCCTGATCATTGTTCCTTCATTTTTAAAGTCCGGACCTGAGAAATCTGTCAATCATTTTTATTAGATATTTCAATGCTAAGTTCTGATTTTTAAGATTTCTAAACAAGCATTTCTAAATACAGTACTGGGACTAGAAGACACCCAGTGGTAAGACGAAGGATGGTAAGATGAAGGAGTTGGTGGGTGGGCCAGGAAGCCAGGGTGGATCTTCTAAGGCTCGTGTGTTCTAGATGCTCTGTTAATGGTAATAAAACATATTCACAGCATACAGGGGGCGAATCCCACATCATTTGAGGCTAGCCTGAGCTACACTGAAAGACTTAGTCTCAAAACAAAACCACAACAATAACAAGAGGTAGTATCCGATGCAAAGATGTTAGGCCATTGGGATCACATCCTTAAGCAGGATATTGGAACCCTGGGTCTCCTCGTCGTCTTTTATTTTGCTTACCTACCAGGAGGTGAGCAGCTTTGTTCTCTGTGTGTTGCTATCATGAGACACTGCCTCACCATAGGCCCAAATGCAATAGGGTCATTGGACTATGAATTAAAGCCTCCCAAAGTGTCATTATAATTTGGTGGCTTTGAGCATTTGTTACAGTCACTAGAAGATGACTGGTACATCCTGCAGATGCTCTTTGTATTAGCCATGATGCCCACCCCCCTTCCTCAAGGCAAGTGTCACCTGGTTGTTGGATGCAAGTTGCCTTCAGGACTGACATTTCCTTGCCAGGCAACCACAGCTGCCTTGCAGAGTCACTGTGGAAGACTTGGACAGAAATACATACAGCCACAATTGGCACCTTAGCCTTTCCAGGAATTACAGATGAATGGAGAGGAACTCATTGTCCAAAAGCCCCAGCTGGGTATGAGGTTCAGGAAATTCCCCTTTGAGATTAATAGGCCCAATGATCTGGTGAGATTCGGTTTCGGGTGACATAATATAATTGGCCTATTCTCTGAGAAGTCTGGGCCGAATTGCCATGACCTGGCTCTGAAGGACTTGAGCACAGACGTGGATGATTCAGGTACCAGTGAGCTGTTAAGTCTGCAGGTCTCTGAAAGCACTCAGGAATACAAACAGGCTGATGGGCGAGGCACAGGGTCACACCAGTGTCGGAGCTGCGTCAGGGTGCCTATGGTCTGGTAGGGAGAAGTTACCATCCTGCTGTTTCAACTTGGCTTCCATACTAATGGGCAAACCACAGCTATTTTATAAGCAAAATCCTCCAGTATTATATTGCAATAGCACACTAGATTGTATAGTTACAGGTCTCACAGTGGGAGTGGGGACGCCTATCATTGTGTGATTAGTACTCTGGCCAAGGATTCCATGTTGTGTCCGTGTATACTTTAGTAATTAAGGCAAATGTGTTATGAGAACTGCAGTAAAATTGTGCTGGTCCCTGAAAACTGGAAGATGGGAGTCTGCGCTTGACTTTTTTTTTTTTTTAAGGTTAGACGTTGAAGCATTCAAGCCATAACTCAGACACAATGCTGTTTAAGTTTGCAGAAGTCATAGAGGAGAGAAACCTACCAATGTGCCAATGCCACTGGACCAACGTCATGTGACTGAACCTGAGTTCACACAGCACAGCAGGCTTTTCAGTAATTTGGAAAATTTATTGGTTTTTGTTCTTCTAGCGTCTACTTTGGAAACTCCCTCCTTCAGGTCGGTGGGGTGGAAGATGCAGCAGTGTGTTCTTCACAGGAAAATACAGATTCCTCTTACGGCAAATTCCAGATCCAGGCAGAGCAGGTTATTGCCATAGCCATATCCAAGGAGCCTTGGCCCAGCTCACACTGGGAAATACACTGTTCGCAGTAAGAATATCGAACTTGGTACGCTGGAGATGTGAGTTTTCCTCGTCTTGATGAGAAGCTCTTGGATCTATTAGAAATACAGAGATTTTCCATGTAGCAAGTGTCCCCACTAAAGGCTTGCATGATCCGGTTCATAGCCCAGACAGCTAGGAGATTCTAAAATAAATTAGGTCCTAGATGTACACAAAGCCTGACCTGAAATGTTTGCAAACTGCATATGGATTTTATTCTTTCTCTTATTGTGGATATTCACGTTTCACTGTGGGAATATTTGCCTGTAGATTTGGGACGGGAACTACCCAGTTGTGCCATATACACCTAATTATCTTTCTTTGAAGGGCAGAATTTGATGTTACACTTGTCCCAAGAGTTTAGAGAAGGGACTGTGGACCTGTGACACACTTAACACATATTTTCCCCCGACTGCATAAACATCAACATCATATTTGGGGGAGGATGGGTGGTGGCGGACGGTTTGCGACCAGATGGTCTCAGGTTTGTCAGGTGGTCTCAGTCCTTTATAACTGACACAGTCTAAGGCTCAATGCAATGTGCATACCTGTAAACCCAGCACCAAGGAGGCTGCAGGAGGACTGTAATTTCAAGGCTAGCCTGGGCTACGTAATGAAAGCCTGTCCAAATGAACAAACAGACACAGAGCCTAAAGTGGCTAGCCCCTGTTGAATCCCAGAGTTCTGAGTTTCTCCTGTCAGCCCTATGTCAGAATCAGAACACCAGCAACATATATTTTTACATAGTCCGGAACCAGAGGTGACAGTCTCGATTCCCTTTCCTGGTGCTTCCATGCACATCTGGCCACATGGGAGAGGGAGAATGGGTAGCAAGGGCTTAGCTCACTGTGGACAAGGTTTCTAATGAAGTGTATGGGGGCTGTGAAAAATCTAGACTCTTAAGTTCATGTTCACTGCTTAATTTAGAGCATATTCATTTACCCTGTTAACACTCTTGTGCACCTTTTGCAACAAAGAGAGAGACCTGAACTCAGTGTTTTTCTAGACAATGTTTCAAAGAATTCAAGAGATTTGAATGGATTTGAGAGGGAGATTTCCATGATCAAGTCAGTCCAGAAGATGAAGTATTAAATAGAGCTGAACAGGCTTCACAGACACAGCCTTTTCTGAGTTCTTACACTTTGGGTTGTGAGCCTAGCCTTTCACGGCTGAGCCATCTCTCCAGGCCCTTTTCTGAGTTCCTAATAGCCGTACTCAGTAAGCATCCAGAGGACCTTTAGCATGAGGCCCAGTATGCCCTGCAATCCTTCTTGGCACGGATGCCTTGTCTCTGAGGCTGTAAGAGCTGAGGCCTGAATGGTGGAGGAAGCACAGAGCTGAATGAGGCTACATAACCGTGGGGAAATTCTCCACCGTGATCAGTCTCTGTGCATGCAGGGACTTCAGACTCTTGCTGCCTTCTCTGATTGAGGAAGTGGGATTCCCCTCTGTATGCTATGAATGTTTTATTACCACTGGTTAATAAAGAAGTTTCTTTGCCTATGGCAGGGCAGAATATAGCAGGGTGGGAAATCCAAGCAGAGATAGAGGAGGAAAGATGGCGGAGTCAGGGAGGCGCCATGTAGCTGCTGAAGGAGAAGGACACCAGAACCTTAATGGTAAGACACAGCTCAGTGGCAATGCACAAATTAATAGAAATGGGTCAATTTAAATTATAAGAGCTAGCTAGGAATACAATTAAGCCATTGGCCAAACAATGTTGCAGTTAATATAGTTTCTGTGTGATTATTGGGGTCTGGGTGGCTGGGAAACTAAAGTGCAGTCTCCTTTTACAGGTTACACTAGGTGTGTGTGTGGGGAGTACACGAGGTCACATGGGACCATAGCAAAGAAGGTGTTCTTTTGGGGGGGCACCTAACCTTGAACAGTAACAGCCCTTAGGAGCAATCTCCATCGAACCCTTGGAGTTGATAGGCAGGCTGCCTGCTGGTGTCAGGCTGGGCGGGGTAGAGAACATCACTGCCCTCTGACCTACTGACATTTTTGAAAGCTATGAATTCTTTTGACCCAAGAACATACATGGAAGGGAGGAGTCCTTGTCCTGACTTATATTACCCTTGCACTAAGGTGGCTTCTAGAAAAATCAGCAATCATGCTCCAATGTCATATTTTAAATCACTGTTCTCCAATGTTACAGTGTCAATTTTCCCATGCAGATACAGCCCTCATTAACTCTTCACAGGACAGCCTTTGTGTTAGAGACACAATGATATGAAGATAGATTGGATCCTTCTGCCCTTTCTCTCTCCTCCTCCCCCCAGAGGGTTTCTCTTCCTGACTGTCCTGGAACTTGCTCTGTATACAGTTCCAGGCTGGCCTTGAACTCAGAGATATGCCTGCCTCTACCTCCTCAGTATTGGGATTAAAAGTGTGTGCTACCACTGCCCAGTTCCTTCTGTGCTTTTTCTTTTCTTTTGCTTTTCGAGACAGGATTTCTTTTGTAACCGTCCTGGCTGTCACAAAACTCCCCCTGCATCTGACTCCAGAGTGCCACGATTAAAGGCTTGCGCCACCACTGCCGGGTTCTGTGTTTTCTTTCTTACAGGTGGCATTCAGTTGTGACTGGCCCTCGTCTTCCTGTCACAGTTGTCTGGAGGTCTGAAGGTGATCATCCCTACTCTGCCACCGACTGGCTCTCAGATGGGAATTCTGTTCTGTACCTTTGACTTTGCTGTGTGCTGCTCTCCCCAGGGGAAGACGGAGACTTACGAGGATTGATGGAGAAATGCCTATCAGAATGGGAATATTTCTGGCATGGAAATGGCAGTGATGGCGAAATAGCAATTTCTCCAGCTATCACTCAAGCAAATAGCATACAAGTGTGTATGTGTGTGTGTGTGTTGTATGTGTGTGATATATTGCCATCCAGACAATAATTTCTGAGAGGATGGAAACCCAGTCTACTATGCACTTGGGGACCTGACCAGAAGGGCACAGTGCTTGTGGAGTGCATACATGATTGGTCCATGGCCATTGAGAGGAAGGAGCACGGGAGGAGGGCAGGGAGGATGGAGAAGACTGAATTGGCAGGACTGAGTGTCACTTCTGTTCTTTCCTTACCACAGAGGCCAAGAGATGTGACGAACAGTTTCCTGCTCCATTCTTTCCGAGTACAGTAGGTCCTGTGCACCCATGGGTTCTGCATCCTTGACCTCAACTAAGTACAGATCAGAAGCATTGAAAAAGAGAATTGCATTGGTATTGAACAGGATTAGGCTTGTTCTCATAGTTCCCTAGACAGTGTAGTGTCAAATAATTTGAATGCCATTTCCAGTAGGTATTTTGAGAAATCTAGAGCTGATCTGAAGTAGGTAAAATGCTGTGAGCAAGTTCTGTGGAAATACTCTGTCACTGTATATAAGCTCTTGAGCATCTGTAGATTTGGGTATCTGTGGGATCCTGGAAGCAAATGTTCACAGATATCTGGGGACAGCTCTCCAGGATCTGCAACTCCCTCCGATTCCCTTAGGTGATTTCTTTACCTGTGTGTCTGTCTTTCTGTCTGTCTTTCTGTCTGTCTCTCTCTCATCTGTGTGAATGAAGCAAAAGACTGTTCAGGATTTTGGGGGTGTATCTGGTGATGTAGTTTGGATGTGGACTAGTCCCCCAAAGGCCCAGTCACCAGTCAATGGTGCTATTGGGAGGGGGTGGGAACTTCAGGAGGAAGGACTGAGTGTGGTGGCTTGGGTCCTCGGAGCTATGCCCTTGAGGAGGGCTGCGTGCTGTGGGTCTTTTTCTCCTTTCTCTGCTTCCCTGAGGATGTAGCTTCACCAAATTCTCTCTTGATACCATGAGTGACTTCAAGAGAGGTCCCAAAGCCAAGAGGTCAGCTGTCCCGAGACTGAACCTCCCAAAACGGTGAGGCAAACCAACCTTTCAACCCTTCATTCTGATTATCCTCGGTGTTTGTTGCAGGAATAGAAAGGTACCGATAGAATGTGACAAATATGGTCACTGGTCTCTATCTCTCTCTCTCTCTCTCTTTTTTTTTTTTTAACAAGAATGACTATTCCCTTTTGGATTTTTAAGGTATATTCTATTTTTATATGTCAATGCTTATATGTGCACATGTACATGTGTGTGGGTGCCTGTGGAGGTCAGAAGAGCGTGTCGGATCTTCTGGAGCTATGGTTATGGGCCATCATGAGACATCTGATGTCGGTGCTGGGAACTGAAGTCTGTTCATCTGCACGGGTAGCAAATGCTCTTTACTGAGCCATTTTCCCCCCTTTTTAGTTTTTAGTTCTTTATAGCCCATAAGCTTATATCCTTTAGGAGTGAGATAATCCCATAATTGGGCGTGGGTGTCCCTGGCTGGATCTGCAGGCTACTGATACCGAAAGCTCCTGATGTTTCAAGGCAATCCACAGAAGCTCAAGTCCTTCTCACTGTGAGGAATTCCCTTTGTTCCTGGACCACATCCTCCTACTTTCCACTTTCCCTTCCCCCAGGGGCCATGGTGTACGGGGTGTGGGGGGGGGAACCACAGCCCAGAGTAAAGAGCACTGGGCTTGGAACCAGGAGATAAGGTTTAAGTCCCAGCATAGGGTACTCATTCATCATGTGGTCTTGGGCAAATTTCCTGACTTTGCAGTCTTAATGGGCCCCAGGGCCACTAATGCTTCCTTCCTGGTAGAACACCACATGACTCTCAGGGTGGGGAGCTCAGCACTACATCTAAACTGTGACCACACAGCCCCTCCTCTAGAGGGTCCCAATCTGTTAAGGCCAGGGATGCTCTGGCAGGTGGCCAGAGTCAGTCAATTCTCATACCATGTTTCTCCTGCTCCACAATGACAGTAACAATCACCACTATCATACCCTTCAGTAGCTTTTCATCAATGCATTAATTAAAAAAAAAATCCCAGACTCATTGTACCATTAACCAAGAGCCTCGGTTTGCTATTTGACACCAAGTGGAGGTTTGTGCCTCAGTTTACCCTTCCATAGCATCAAGGAAGCGGGCGATACATGCCTCTACAACTGCAACTCATTTCGGGTTCTCTGTTCCCACTTCTAATTTCGTAGCAAAAGAAGCGGAAGCTCAGAATCAACCTCTGGATCAGACCCAACTCAAACTCGACATCAAAGCCCAAGTGGATGAGTGGCCTAGGAAGTCTCTCTTGACTTTATGACCCGCAGATCAGAGGAGCAGGACAGGAGGTGGCTACTCTGTTGGCACTCAGTCTGTGGGGTGCAGGAGCAACACCAAACCTGCTCAAGTGACTTCCGGCCTTGTTCTCTGGGCTGGCTTGACCAATCAGGTAACTGAGGCCTCATCACGGGATGTTCTTGTTCTGCTGTGGGTCCAGCTACCTGGCTTATCATCTGCCAGCTACAGAAGTAACCCGGATACAAATGCCAGCACTCTGTTTTTTCTTTAATTTCTGAGCACAGAATGAATGCGTTGGAGAAAGAAAGACAGAAGAGGAAACCAGGACACAAGCGCTATGAGCCACCTTAGGGATAATCCAGCAGCGAAGAGAAAGATGACCAATGAGGCTGAGAACGGCTAGCCGTTTAAGATGCAGATACATAGGCAGCCATCCCTGCTGAGTGCTGAGAAAGGGGATGGGTGACTGGAAGCCCTGGGGATGTCTTGGTTTTTCACAATGTGCTGGGCCCTTGTTAATGACAGCATGGTACATTTGAGGGCAAATGCTAGTTCAAACGAAGAAATGACATGACGTTGGCAAGGAGGGTGTGTCTTAGGCACCAACAACTGAGCCATTGTCCTACCCCACCCCCAGGACACCCCCCTTTTCCCTGTCACTGGATCCCCGGGCTTAGTAGTCAGTGTGATAAGGCTGGACAGCTTCCCTCTCCAGGCTAGAAATGCCTGTTCTGAGCCTCTCCCCTCCTCTCACCCCTCCCCACTTCTCCCCTCCCAGGCCCACAAGTTCTCTATTTTCCAAGATGCCATTTCAAAAGCAACCCTGACTAAAGCAAAGCCTCAAGACGGAAGGAGTCCAGAGGGACAGAGTCATTTCCAGGGAGGAGCAGACTAAGAAAAGGCTCACTCTGACCTCACCTGTCCCTCTGGCCGCAAAGGACCATTTAACTGGAACATTCTAGACCACACCCAGCCTCCAAACCACAGGGCTCCCTCCTTGTCTTCCTCCTGGCCAGATCATTTTCTTAGGGGGTTGATTGTGGGTTTTGTTTCCAAAGCAAAGTATCTCTTCCTTAACACTCTACCTTCCTGCGGCAAGAAAGACCGAAGCACAATGGTGTGATTTAGCTTACTCCCCATTGAGTCACTGGCGGCTTCTGGCTGAAAACAAAGAACGCTTGAGTTTACAGAGCGGTTAGGTCAGGTCTCTGATTGGCAGAGAACTGTGCCTAGAGACCCATGTTCAGCATCTGGGTTAGCATCTCCTTTCTGCTGTAAACTGAGTCCCCCAACCTGGCTGAGAGGTTCTCTCTAGACTCAGCCGCTTTGGGCTACAGTAATGCCAGCGTTCCCTGCATCTGGATCATGAGGGGTCTGGGAACTTACTCCCACAAAGCTCCGGCATGAACACCCTGCTTTTCCGGGTACAGTTCTGCTCCCAGAATGCGGGACAACCCCTGAGAGCAGACCAGAGAGTTGGACTAGAGCCGTTTTTTTCCACTGTAATTTCTGTGCTTCCTCCTGAGGACATAGGGGCCCTCATCCTCATCACTCTACTTCCTCTCTCGTCTCTCTTCCAGCCATGACGTGTGGCTTTGCTCGGCTTGTGCTCCTTCCGTGACGAACTACTTCTCCAGGACAATGAGGCTGATTGAGTCTAGGCAGAGACCTTAAGAACCACGAACCGGAAACCACTGTCTCTTTATAAATTGGTATTTGTTCTAGTGACCAACTGCCGACTAATAGGTCCCCTAAGATAAATCCTGTGCTGGTTACTTTTTTGTCACCTTGGCACAAACTAGAGTCACTTTGGAAGAGTGACCCTCATTGAGGAATTGCCTCCATCAGATTGGCCTGTAGGCAAGCCTGTAGAATATTTTCTTGATTGATGATTGATGTGGGAGGGCACAGCCCACTGTGGGCGGTGCCATTTCTGGGCAGGTGTTCTGGGTTGTATAGGAAAGCAGGCTGAGTAAACCATAGAATGTAATCCAGTAAGCAGTGTTCTGCTATGATCTCTGCTTCAGTTCCTGCCTCCAGGTTCCTGCCTTCCATTCCTGCTTTGGTTTCCCTTGATGATGGCCTGTAAGGTGAAATCAGCCCTTTCCTTCTTCCCAAGTTAATCACTGTTAGGAGCACAACTTATGAAACCATTTCGTGTAACTGGAAAACCATCATGTAACTTAAACGCCGTTTTATGTAACTTGAAATAATACAATGCCTGAGCTTACCACTGGGCAAGCTGATAAGAGCAGGTCCTCGAGCAAGATCACTGAACAGTACCATTTTACCTAGCCCAGGACAAACCCTGATAGGCTAGGGAACCAGCTCCAAGCTGTGAACCCTGATAACTCAAAGCTACCACCCAATGAAATGATCCACAAATTGGAACTTTGGAAATGATCAGCTAACCCCTGTGTTGATACTCATCCTCCGCAAGAGAACTTGAGACTCTGTGCCTGGCCCCGGCCTCAGTGACTGCTGAACTTCCGGCACTGTGACTAGACTCATACAGGTTAGCCTGTCAGCACTAGCTGCTGACCGGCTCTCTCAAGGCCTTCTCGAATATCCATTGGAGCCATCATCCCTGACTGTCCTAGCTGAAGGACTTCACAGTGAATGTGGACTGAGCCTGCAAGCTTCTGAAGGTCCCCACTGGAGAAGATTTCATAGTAACAGATTTCCCTCTAGCAGCATTTCTGCCCAGATGACTGTTTCCTGCTTGGTGAGATGTCTGTTTAATTTTTATATTAGCATGACATGATGAAGAAGGGTTTTGTGAGCAAATCGAGCATATTCGAAAGACAAATTTTATGTGGACGTCCTAATTGCCGAGCGCCTTATAGCCCACAGACCGTGCTCTCTGCATTTGTGGTGTTCATTACTGCAGTGGAAACCAAACCAGGACATATCCAGTTCCCTTCCCCAGGAAGTCAGCTGCATCTAGATAGGTAGAGGGATGGCTTTATATAAGTCCTATTTTGCTCAACATAATGCTTACTGGTAGTCAGTACCCAAGGGACAGACTAGCCCAGGGGCTGATGGGATTCCAAGCAGATAGACTAGCCCAGGGGTTGATGGGATTTCAAGGAGACAGACTAGCCCAGGGGCTGATGGGATTCCAAGCAGACAGACTAGCCCAGGGGCTGATGGAATTCTGTGTAGTGGTGTCCCGTAACTGTTAGGAAACAGGTAGGTAAGTACCCGTGGGTCACTCTGTCTCTAGTATAAAACTATATATTGCTTCCATGTTGAGAAAGTGCTTTTTAAGAAAACATAGCAAAAGCATTTTTTGTAGCTTAACTCTTAGGGGTGTGGAAAAGTTTGGTAGCAGAGTCCTGGAAAAACTCTGAAGTGGCCCAGATCTGTGAACCCAGAAACCACACCCCTTGGCTTTCATCTCTGAGGATTTCAGAACCGTTGATGCTTCAGCTAACACAGACATGCCCTCCCAAAGCTCTCAAGACTGTTGGAATTTGTGAATATTTTTTATATTTTAAATAAAACTAGTTTTGATTTGTTGCCCCCTTTAAAAAGGAGTCAAAATGGGTCAGGATCCTTGAATAAGCTCTGCTTATTTCCAAGCGTGTATTAGTCAGATAGGGCTGTGTTATGTTGTGCTAAACAAACATCCCCCCAAACAGCCTAACACTCAAAGGTTTATAGCAGGCCTTGCATCTGCAGAATATGCATGCCCAAACCCCCAGCGGCTTTAGAAACTCTAGATGACTCTTGTTAGGGTGTGAATGTGACATGTTCTCCACAGGCTCATGTGTTTGAACACTCGGACCCAGCTTGTGGCGCTGTTTTGGAAGGTTGCGGAACTTCTGGGAGGTGGGACCCAGCTAGAGGAAGAGGATCTTTGAGGGACAGGCCTGAAGGTTGTTGTCCGTCCCATCTCTGCTTCCTGCGCCACTCGAGAAAATGAGAGCAAGTAGCCTTCCTTCCGTTCCTGCCACCACAGTGTGGTCATTCTTGACACCCTGCTGCCTGTCGCCACGGGCTGTTTTACAGTGATGAACTGAAGTGTATCTTCCTTTAAATTGATTCTTGTCAAGTATTTGCTCACAGCAATGAGAATGTAACTAATGCTACAGTACTGAACCCTAGGAACTCTACACGTTTCCCTATCTGCTTGTCTCCCTAAAGTTTTGTCACACAGTGCCAGAGTTAATATGTTCTCTGCCCCTGTGTCTGCTTTGCACCATGAAGTCCTGTGCTCTGGGGCTGTTTTTAAGAAAAACAAGGCTAACAGCTCAAGCATGGTGAAATCATGACCACCTGCCTGGTAGTCAAGATGGCTACTAAGCAACCAAGGGGAGGGTAGCAAATACAGCATGAATGCACCAGGCAAAAGGATGGATACCCCAGACTGAATGGATGAAGCAGGACACTATACTCCTTGGAATGACAAGCAATTTAGGATTTACAAGTTGTTTCTTTTGCTGTAATTTTCCACTCAATAATTTGGACCACTATTGGCCACAAGTAACTGAAAATTCTAAAAGTAGGTAGAGAAACAGTAACGGGAGACTCCTGCACTCCCTGCTTTCACTGCACATCCGTATGGATGGGCTGGGGCCCTTCTCGACCTCAATTTCATTTCAGGACCAGGCTGAGCAGGCACCATATCCAGCTCTGCCCATCCCCTCACAGAGTGCCCAGGAAGAGATTTGATGACTTCCAAATTGCACAGTCTGGGATGGGTGGGAAGAGAGATGATGGTGCAATTTGGTTGAATGGACTGGGAAACCCCAAGGCTGGAGGTTTTCTCTTGTTGGCGCTTGCCCGTAGGTACATCGTCTAACCCCCTCTAGATCCGTAGCTGCAAGTGAGGAGGCAGGGGTGGTGAGTGGAGGGCTAATTATGCCTCTTAGACGCTCCTGGGAGGAATGCCGTATGGATGCACACACAGTCAAGCCAGGAAAAGTGAAATGGGAATGAAAGGGGAGAGAAGTATTTTAATAACAGGGTAGAGAGTGTTCTGGGAATGGCAGCCAAGAGATTCGTATCTGCAGTAGGATAGGGCTTCAGGTAAGATAGCCCCCAAAGAGCAGCAACTTCAACTCAACAGTGTTTGTTGCTCTCAGGGGGATAAAGTCCCAGGAGTGTAGACTCTGGGGTTTCTTTAATTCTTCTTATGTCTCCCTGTTTGAGGGTTCTTGGAATATCGGAGCTCTGGAAGCTAGTGGGAGGAGTCAGGGTGCAGGATAAAAAGGGGGTGAGGACTGGATTAGCCCCAGCTTCTCACAAGTAAAACTAATTGCTTTGTTTCATGTGGTGCTACCAGGAAAGCCCCTTGGGGCTTTGTCACAGAGGCACATAAAAGGAGGAGACTTTGTCTGCCTGGTCAGCTCTCTCTGGTGGCTTTATGGCGGGCAGGACCTGCGTGCCCACTCAGTCTGCTCCTTAGAGGGGAGGCCAGACAAGGACCTAGCTGCAGAGGCATGGATGCTGTGCTCTGCCACCCACGAAGCAGCCGGCCTTCTTCTCTGCCCACCTGCCCGTGGCCCCAGACGTCTGACCTGAACTCAGTGTGCCTGCTTAGGTAGTGGGTCCCACGGTGCCTTGGTCTTCTACAATAACAGGGAAGCCCTGGGGCAGATGGTGAGAGCCCAGTGATGCAAGGCACAGAGCGACGAGCTGCTGGGGGCTGTGCCTGCAAGCAACTGGAAGCAGGAACATTAGCACAATGGGGCCCGCCTAGCCAAGCAGGTAAAATGTCAGGGCACTGTAACCTCTGCAGCAAGAGGCCATGAAACTCCATGAGACTCATTTCAATTAGATTGAAGTCCTTCCCTGGCCAAAGACTATGGTTGTGGTCAAACAATTCTCTCAAAGATTCATTAGTGGCTTGACTAGATGCTAGGCTATGCGAAATGCCTCTGACATATATTTCATAGGCGAAAACGGTTACACAAGCCCCAGTCATGATGCACATGCGTTCCTGCTAACAACAGCAGCAGCAACAACAAAATGGCAGAAAGGAAAGGCACTTCTCCTCCTCCACTTCCAGTTTGTTCTGGAAAGCTGGACATAACATATCCGATATTTCACTTTATTCTGGGCGGCCTTGTGCCCAGCTAACAAAGTATCATAAATGTAGGTGAGGTGGGGTTGGGGAGTAAACGGGTAGCTTGTCCTACAACAGCTAGAGTGCGAAGCCCTGAGCCAGCAACAGGGTGGGCTCAACCAGTGTAACCCCATTTCACATCAGGGTGCCGGGGACAAGGCGGGGAAGACACATAGGCAGGGGAGGGAGGAGAGGAAGCCAGGGTGCAGGGGAGTGAGGAAGGGGGACGGATACACCGCCAGAAGGAGGGGCCAGGAGATTGCTCCACCTGCGGAGTGGGCTCATCAAAACCATCCACCCTCTAATAGGCAACTGAGGAGGGCGAGTGGGAGGGTGGTTCTTGCCAGCAACTTCTATCAGCCAGGGCTGACCTCATCGTGCTCCCCTCAACCTCAACATGCCCCCCTCCCACCCAGTCGGCAGACATTCCGCACTTTTTCCCCTCCCACGTGCTTGGGAGGGGGGAGGGGTTCTATGGTCTGGACGCAGCCAGTCATCCTGGCTCCGCCTCCGGATGGTGGGTGGCTCCCAGCACAGTGGCTCTGCCTTCTTTACTCCAGAAAAGTTTCTGGGGAACTAGAACTACAAAGAAAGACCTCTCCAGTCTCCAGAGCATCCATGCTCAGATGGCCCCTACCCCTGCACGAAGCTTCTCATGTAACAACATGTATCAGGGACCGAAAAAAGCCAGGAAGAGAGAGAGGCACCCTTTCTACCTAGTGGTGGCCTGAACTGAACTGAAACTAGCCCGTTTCCCCATCTCTGGGAGAGCCAAAACCACCAGCTGCTGGGGCACCGCTCCTCAAGGGAGGAATCAGCTCAACTGTCAAGTCCTGTGTCAGAGCGTTTGTCAACCCCGACAAGTCACAGGAAATGTCTCTCATTGGAAAAGGACCTACTGTGCTCAGGTGTCCACCCGCCCCCCGCCCCCCCAGGCAGGGAGTGCTAGGAAGGGAAGGGGCTGACTGATTGCAGATGCTGGATCCCAGAGGGTCTGCCCAAGGGATTCCTCTGGAGGAAAAGGAGGGGAATGCAGAGAGGGGCCTGCTAGTCTTTGGTTCAAATGCTGTTTTCCTCGGCACTGCAACCTAGTGCAAGACAGCTTTTCTGGGTCTGTGTGTTCAGAGCTGAAAAATGCCGCTAAGCTGTAGCTCTGACCTGGTTAGAGGGAGGATGAACAGAGCATGCTGGAAAGACATCCTGCTTACCAGGAGTCCTGTGACTTGGTGTCCCCATTCGCCCACACTCCCCTCACTCCACCCCGACCCCGATTGGGGGGGCCCCCCCCCCCCCCGTTCCTGGAGGGCCAAGCAGCTTACTCCTCCTCCTCTGTGATGAGCAGCCCCTGGCAGCTGCCTCCCTCTACTGTTTGACAGCAACAATAAAGCAAAGTTTCCTCCACCATGAAGTTTGTCCAGCTGAATGGGGCCTTAGGGCTACTGCAGGGCTCAGGGAATAAGGACATTTTGAAGAGCCCTTTTCTTTTGGTTGGTGTTATTAGAGGCTGCTGGGCTGGGTCGGAGCACTAACTTGGCCCACGCTCTTCTCAGCTGTTGGCTAGCCCCCAGCCTTCTGTGTCACCTGCTTCTCAGATCCTTGAGGGAGACCCATGGCTGTGCAGTGAAGAGAGAAGGAGCTTATGGTGTTCATAGCTCACATTCATTTGCAGGCCATTGCAAGGCTGCCTCCGAGCAGGTGTTCCCTCTCAGCCCCCAGTGAACGGATGCCATAGTTAAAATTCTCCTCATTTCTTTCCACTGCTCCTACATCTTAGCCTTCTTGTGTGTCTCATTTCAAGTGAAGAACAACATCCTTCCACTTTTGATTTTTCTCAAACAAAGAACTAGTTCAACTCCATGCTCAAGGAATGAAAGGGGCGTGCTGAGCAGTTGTATAATGACCCCTGCTCTGATACCACCTCATGGGGACCTGTCAGACCCTGGGAAACCCATGCCACTTCCCTATACTGGCTCCTTGTCCACAGTGGTGTTTTCAGAGGAGCCGGGTGCCAGGCGAAGGAACCCAACACCCGTGTGAGTAGCAGCAAAGACATCTCCATGAGCCGAATGTTGTACCTGTGCACGTAAGGGCTGGTTGGTGCCCTGCAGGTGCGATGGGGTGCTGGGGACCGGTGTATACAGGACTGAATTGGAGTGGGAGAGGTAGCTAGGCCCTTCCCACCACAGGTGCATCGTGGGAGAAGTGTGGCAGGCAGAAGTCAGCTGATGAAGCTGACGCCAAGTTGTTCATCTGCCTTTGAGATGAACTAGGAGAGGACCAGTGAACCTGGAATGGGAGAAAGCGAAAGGTGACATGGCCAGAGGGAAGGAACACTGCGGATTGTGTCTGTCTTTGTGTGGCAATGCACGCTAGCCACCTGGGTTCTACTCGTCACCCCAGTACCCCTTTATATCCCTGGGTAGAGAATGGGCCTAGGGTAGTTT